CAGACCCAACACCCTACTTCCCCGATTCCGACATCAGCAGCTTGCGTACCTTCATCCGTGAACTAGTCACACAATCCATAATACCCAACATGGAGCGCAGCGTCTCAACCTGGAACGAGCAGATCCTGTCCCGACGCCGCGGTCTGTCTGGCCGCTTCATGTCTCTATCAAAACGTTGGACACCCTTTGGTGGCTCAAGAACTTCCTCATCGTCCTCGACTGCATCAGGAAACTCCAACTACGACAGCCTACAAGGCTTCTACCGCCCCGACGCCCCTGAAGCCATCATGCGACGGCTAGCAGATTACTGCTTCATGCTGCGTGATTGGAAACTGGCTTTGAGTACTTATGATATTCTAAGAACAGACTTTCAAAACGACAAAGCGTGGCGGCATTACGCTGGTGCTGCTGAAATGGCCGCTTTGTCGGCTCTCATGGCACCAACACCACTATCCTCCAAATCCCGCGCCGAGAACATCGATGCGTGGATAGAAGCTGCATCGTACTCGTATACCGACCGCCAGCGCAGCGCAGCGCCGTACTATGCTCTCCGCACCCTCGCCCTCAGCTTCGAGCTCCTGCGCCTCCGTGGCTCCTCCGCCGCAGACGACGCCGCACGCTGGGCAACCCGCATTCTAGAAACAGGTCTCGTAGGCTCGATAGGTCACGCACTCATCACGGAACGCATCTCAGCTTGCTATGCTGTGCGCACTGGCGTGGGTATGTACAAACTAGGAAGCCGGCGTCGGAAGGCAGCGCTCTGGGCTGTGCTTGCCAGCGAAAACTGGTACAGACTGGACAAGTCGCAGCAAGCGGAACGCGCCCTCGACACAGCGCTCAGGCTATACAACACCCAAGCCGAGAACGCCGATGGAGGGGCTGTCAGACTACCATTCGAGGACATGCAGCGATTTGTGGATGAGTTGAGACAGCAGATCATGGGCTTGAGGCTGGCGAATCAGGGCTATGGTAGTGAGCATGGAGAGGGCGATGAGGACGGTAGGCAGAGTCCAGAGGTCGAAGAGGAAGCTGAGACGTTGGATAAGAGCCCACGGTTGCATAGGAAGAGCTTGATTGGGGTCCAGGTGCCACCTGTTGATATGGCGGGGCCTCTGAGTCCAGCGCTTGAGAGACCAAAGGGTGAGGTAGATGCAAAGGGCGAGGGCTTTGAATAGACGGTAGATATGCATAATGCTCATGACGATCAAGACGTACTCATCAATGACTTCACGCATGCTGAACATCTCACACACACAGATCAAGTAGTGACAAGTCAACAGCAGTAATGGTTTCTCATTTCTAGGTTCAGTCATATCCCAAGAGATGAGCCATCATCATCCATGTGGAAACGCAAGCGTAACCCCCAAACGCCAAAGCCAGTGAACAGAGCGCGGCCCAAGCACTTTGGCACCCGTCAGTCATGCTGGCATATGCAACGATGTGTAACAGACAGCCCCTGCCAATGCTCGTATGCTATGCAAAGAAGGAAAAAGAAAATAACCCGGGAATAATAAGCGCACAATGTTATGCTGGGGTATCATCATCAGCGTCATCAATATGAACCGTGAATCGGTGTCCGTCGTCGTAAGGCCATCATGCTACCAAGCCTACTAGGCGGTAGCAGCGGGTGTGGTCTCTGCCACGGCAACACTCTTGGGTGCTGCGGGAGCCGTCTTCTTGGGCTCTGATGGGGTTTGTGTGGAAGGTGGTGCGGGTGTAGGTGCGCGAGAAGTGGTGCAGGACGGAGTAGGGGAGGAAGTATCTGAGGTGCGAAGACCGCGGAGCTTGATGGTGAGCTTAACCTTCACGGGCTCTGGTTGAGGAATTTCGATGTTGGACCGCTGCGACGCTGCGAATCCGTTAGATTCATCTGACGAGCTCTCGGTGCCCTCTGGTGTAGAGTCGGAGTCGAAGAGCGGCAGAGGCGAGCGGCGCTTTCGTGAGCGGCGGCGCTGGTCGTCATCGTCACCGTCGACACTAGGACTAGGTCGCTTCTTGGAGATGACCTGGGGTACGATGTTGACGTCAGGGGGGCCGCTGTGAGGTCCGGCGATATTGCGGACGGAAGAGTAATGCTCCCAAGTCTAATAGGGACGTCAGCACTGTGCCAGCGGGGTAATTAGTGGTGGCATGACTTACGTGGTAGGCAATGTGAAGTGTCTGGCGGCTGTCCTGAGCAGCCAGGCCTTCGTTCGACGTATAACATGTGCGGGGCGAGAAGAGGTAGGTGTAGTCAGCCTGCCAGAGGCGGACGTTGACGTTGAGGGCGGAGGCAAATGCTGAGACTTCCATGTTGTCGGCCCATTCACCGGGCTGGCCCATCTTCTCGACGTGCTCTTCAAACTGCTGTTGCAGCTGCTCTTCGGTGTAGCATGTGGTGTCAAGGCGGTTGGCGGCAGCTGCTGCAGTCTTGCGCTTGGGGTTCCGTCGCACGGTGTTGCAGGCCATGTACTGGCGGTAGAAGTCTGCGCTGTCCTTCATGTGCTCTATGGTGGTGGTGCGCAGCACCTCGTGCATATCTTGGTTGCCGTAGAGCTGGTCAGACAGGGCGTTGAAGAGGCAGTTGCCTTGGGCAAAGTCAGCCTTGAACATGGAATATGGGGTAATTAAGCTCACCATCGCCACGGATCTGGCTGGCATACAGGGCATTGGCCTCGAGTATGGGGAATTCAGGCGAGTTGGCCCGCTGTCTTCGGGTAGCCATATTGGCGGGTGGTGTATCAAGCGTGCGTGTTGGACAGGAGAAGTCGGTGTAATGCAAAGAGGAAGGCACAGGAGTGGGGTGACGGGGTCATGGATGAGGGTTGAGCTTAGGTGCGACAGTTGCTATTGTAGAGAGGGCTGGGCCGGCCACGCCAAGTTGGTGAAGGTCGTGGCCGGTGAACGTGAATGATGAATATCTTTGTGACGCGCCCGAACTCTTTGAGGCTCTCGAAGGGACACGGCGACAGGGATGGCTCAGCTTGGCGGGTCGCAGGAACCGTGGAACAACGATCTCCGCCCCGAGTCAGGACAGCTCGCGCTCAGGAGCCTGGAGAAGTACAATCAGACGTCAGCCAACCAGACACCGGGACAGCGCCTTCTTGTACTTTTCAAACGACAGAAACTAAAGCTCCAGATGGTACGGAAAAATCTTCGGCCTACATACCTCGGAGCCTGCAATGATGTCACGGACCACAGAGCTCCCCCAGCTAGCCGATGGGGCAGGCCCGACTGTTTTTCGCGATATATCGGCGGTGAAGGGCAAAAAGCGCGTGCAAGTGGGCGAGAGCCGAGTTTGCTCAATGATCTGGACAGTAGCACAAAAGTGAAGGGGGCCGGGGCCAGTGTTATAATAGCTTCACAATAGCAAGCAGGCCAAATGGTCAGTAAACAAAGCTCGCATGTGCGCACGCGTTTTGTCTCGTGTGCGGGAAGGAGCCAATAGGCGAGCAGGGGATACAAGGCATGACCCCGCCATCCTCATCAGGCTCCGCATCCACGGTCGAAAGCAAGTCCTGTTCAGTCACCCCACGGCACATCACGGGTGCGTCAAGGCAGCCATCGCTCTGACTCTGAGCTGCCACCATGGCCAACCAAAAGAATGTCGTCGTTGTCGGGTAAGCTCGCCTATCAACCTTGGAATGCTGTCATGATATTTTTTGTTGCCCCTCCACCGTCCCATAGTAGTAATACTCATCCTCGCCTATGACTCTCCAACATGTCTAATCCGTCTTGGGCGGCAATCTCAAGACCGCACTAACACCACCCCAGAGCAGGCGTCATCGGCCTCTCCACAGCCCTCGTGCTCTCCAGGCACAAGGACCTCAGCATTACCGTCGTAGCCAAACACATGCCTGGCGACTACGACATAGAATATGCATCACCCTGGGCTGGGGCAAACTACTTTCCTGTTGGCAAGCCAGGCTCGAATTTGCAGAGGTTCGAGAAAGCTACCTGGAGTGAGCTCGATCGAATATGTCGTGAGATACCGGAAGCAGGCATTCACTACCAGGCGACGAGGGTCTATGGGCGAGAGAAAGATGCAGGCACCGCTACAGGGCAGTGGTTCGAAGAGCTGACCAAAGAAGACGCATGGTTCAAGGACGTTGTGCCGAATGTATGTAGTGCCTATCCCAACTCGGTTTCCATACATTCATCTACGTTGCTTGCGTAAAATCATGCTGATGCTGGTTAGTTCCGCGTACTGTCCAAATCTGAACTTCCAGAAGGCTGTGACAGGGGCACAGAGTTCACCTCTGTATGCATAAACACTGCTGTCTATCTTCCCTGGATTCTGGGACAGTGCGTGAAGGCCGGTGTGACCATCAAGCGCGGTATACTCTCCCACATCTCCGAAGCAGGCAGCTTCCATACCTCGGGGCATGCAAATGTCGTAGTGAACTGTACTGGTCTTCTAGCCTCCACACTCGGAGGCGTCATGGACAGTAGCGTGTACCCTGGACGCGGCCAAATTGTTCTGGTGCGGAATGAGCCTGGTGTCATGGTGACAGTAAGCGGAACCGACGATGGCAGTGAGGAAGCTACCTATATCATGCAGCGCGCAGTCGGTGGTGGGACAATCCTCGGAGGCTGTCTACAACACCACTCTTGGGAATCCCAACCTGACCCCAACCTCGCACAGCGCATCATGCAACGCTCCATCGACCTGTGTCCGTCGCTAGTACCGAAGACTGGAAAGGTGACCGAGCTGAGTGTCATTAGACATGGTGTTGGTCTGCGCCCTATGAGAACCGGAGGTCCAAGGGTGGAGCGAGAGAAGGTTGATGAAGTTGAAGTAGTGCATAGTTATGGACATGCTGGCTATGGGTACCAAAGCGGCTGGGGAAGTGCGTGGGAAGCAGAGAAGCAGGTCCTGGACATCTTGAATGAAGACAGGATAAAAGCGAGACTGTAAACGTGCCCACAGAGCCTTGATTTGGCTGGTCATGACGATAGATAATAAGAGACAGCTATCGAAAGGACGGGCTATAGTAAGAATGTCCCCGTCAAAACCCTACTTACCGGAACTTCCTTGGTTTCTTCGACCCAACAACGTTTAAGACTGTCTTCCTTCTCCGGAGATGACCTGGTCCCAGAGGCCGTGTATCTGCAATCTCACCCTCATCTACCTTTTCCACGTCTTTTGGCTTTCGTTTCCAGGCACGTCGCCCGCGCGAGATATTCGCTGATCCCCACGTAGCGTCGCCCATCGCGCGTACTTTAGCCCACATATACGTTCCATGATATGCAATCGTCAAGGAGAGTCCTCCAATCAGCGCTGTGGCGGGAATGGCAATGGCCCAAAAGAGAGCTTGCGAGCTGCTCATGTCTCTTATATCCGTAGTGTTCATGCCGAAGACGGAAGAGATGAAGGAAAGAGGAAGAAACACGATTGTCACTAGAGTAAATACTCTGATGGCTTTCGAGTTGCTTTCTTCTGAGACTTCAACGTTGTGGCGGAGCACCTCTTTGGTCCTATCAAACAATGCCTGTGTTTCTCTTACGCCTGTAGAAGTTGCTCCCATGTTGACGGGGTTGTTGAGATTCTGGTTCATGAGGGGAATTACGATGTCTCTGTCGGCTCTGAAACATTCTTTGGTGGCTATGCGATAGGTGGAGGGACCGATGATGTCGTAAAAATCACTGATCATGCGGCGTTGTTGAGCGCAGATAGAGGCTACCATCTCGAACTCCTCTTCCAAGAGATACAACTCTCGGAGGGCAAGCTTAGATGGCCGCCGGCTAGCTTCGTATTGCTATGTCTTGTTAGTGTGTAATTATCTGGCTGACCTAAACAGTGCACATACCATTTTCGAAAGATGCTCTCGGTACAAGTCAGGTACAGACGAGTCGTGCAATACCGCTCTTGACCAGAGATGGAAGAAGCATATGAGCAAAGTAACCTCAGGCGTACTGCGGAAGTTTTGTACAGCTCCCCGGTGGCTGCCAGTATGCGCCATGATCAGTAGCTCTTTACGCGCGGACGAAAGCGTAGTAGAAGCTGCTGAGCCAAAGTATGAAAGCAGATCCATGTAAGTCTTGAGCTCCTTCCACGAAATGATGGGCATCGCATCGGCCAGATTGAGTTTGTGCAACTCAACAACACTATACCCGCAAGTATCGATCATCTGTAAAATCATCTCTGCCGCTTTTACAAGCGATAGCGGTAGGAGATACTCGCTCGGCTTTTCGTTTCTCTCATTGGCGACACTGTTGCGGATATCAATTGCTTTGGATCGCAACGTCTCAACGCGCAGTGCCATTGCACTAAGATACTCGACAATGAGCTCGTTTTGCTCTTCCACACCAGCTAGCTGAGATGACATAACCCAGTGAGATAGCTGTGTTCGAGAAAAATGTGATGGTTGATTCGTATCGCTGACGTGAACGCGCCGCAGATGTTCGAAAGCTTCATCCGCGCTCGAGTAGTACCTTGCGCGCTTGCAGAAGTCACACTGATTTATGGAAAAAGATAGATCAGTAAGCTTGTGAAGCCTCGAGTATTCTTTGTGAGGAAGTTCACGGATCGCGTAAGTCGACTGTGGCTCTGACTCCTCCCACTCTTGGTATACAACATTCTTGACGCCCATATAGCCAACGATCTGCCCAGGTCGTGTAAGTAGTAAGCCAAAAGGTACAGCCTTTCGGCAAATTCAAAAGGAGTCATTACCTCGATGATAGATTTCAGTGCACCCCAGCATCTACGCAAGAGCTGATGATCGTAGTATTTTGGTACGAATTGGTCCACGATATCCATAGTAGAGTGAAAAACGCGTTGTGCGTGTTTGTGCATCAAAGCCATTTGCCATTGGGTGACTCTTCTCGCCGTGACAAAGGCCTCCGCTTCCGAATCGATTCTGGCATCAGTTGTAATGTCGGTGTCAGTGATGCTGGTACCTGATTCGAGTGAATTGGAGAGGCCATTTGTGTCGTCCATTACAGTCAGCTCGTTGCGTTTAGTTGGGTTTCCAACGACTCTGGCACAGGCCCTGTAACAGGCCGCTAGTGATGTCAAGACATCGTCGAGGGAAGACTCTTTATTGGTGAGGCGTACACCTGATTGATACGCGTGGGCAAATGGATGTGTGAGATCGATTGGTAGTCTTGCTACATCCGTCCGCGTCCTGGTCAGCTGCTGTTCGATAGCAAACAGAGTAAGCTGTATATGAGTACTCTCATCAGTATTCTGCTCTGATGGGTCCTCTTTTGTTTGCCATGCAAGGAAAGGTGGCACACGAAGACCGGTATTCAATCTTGTAAGCTTGGGACTTGGGGAAACTTCTCGCGTCCGATACGTCGTGGCTGCGCGATTTCTGTCCATCGTTTTTTCGCGTGAAGCTCTATCATTCTGTTCGAGTAAGCGTGATTCACTTCCCAATCTCCGTCAGCGAGCGCGTACATGTTCGGACCGAGAAGCATCCATCGGCTGGTTCTGCTCTTGTCGCTCTTGTGTTTGAGCGCGCGATCCCTCTTGACGCTCTCTTTCAAGATGCGCCTCTATACGACGGTCGCGTGTGTGGTCAAACATCGGCAGCAACTCTTCTGTTGTCAGGTGTTGGAAGATGATCCAGAAATTAGGATCAAGCATGTCATGCTGGAATCGAAGATTGAAGTGAAGCAAAGTAGCCCTATCGAGTTGACTGATCGGTACCCTGGTATAGTTAGGTAGGGATATCTCTTCTCTTCCGGGTGCTGTGTCAGTTCCTTGTTTGATGATGGCTTCGATAAGGTTTGGAAGGAGGCCAGACTTGGCGAGTCGATTGCGGAGCTCAACTTCTAGTTCCTTTTGGACATCTCGGTTGACTTGATCAGTGTTGTGCCTCAATGCAGCAGCAACTCCTTCACTTATTAGTCCTTTAAGGTCTTTGACTTGTAATCCCACGAGGTCCCTTAGGTCCTCAGGGTTATCCTCGACACCGAGACGTCTCTTTTCTTCCTGTGTTATATGCGCATCATCCTGTAGTCGTAGATCTGAGTCAACGAGCTCTTCCTCTTTTACGTCTCCTTTGAATGATCCTGGGGTATCTTGTGTGGCAACGTCCAAGTTGGGTTGACTTTGTGAGAAGCGAGCTTTAGTTTTTACTCCAGGTTCCACGCCCTCTTTACAATCTGATATCGCATTCCGTATCGCTCCTAACGTGGCCTCTTCCTCTCCAGACTCAGGATGATCTCGCTCGTTGATTGAGCGAGATGATGATGAGAACGAACCCTGAGCATCTTTCTCTGTGTATCCTTTCGTATCGTAGACATCAGGCGCAAGTTCGAAAGAGCCGGAGAGCTTTTCCTCGTCTTCTATGTCGATGATGTTAGGTACATGAGACTCCCTTGAACTGTGCGGCGACTCGACTGTATCACCGACCAATGATGTACTACTGACTCTTTCCGCGAACGATAGAGCCTCACCAGCAAGCTCTTTGGTGCCAACAATGGATGCATACGAACTACTGCTGATATGAACAGCGTTTTCGCTCTCATACGTAATGGCCCTGGCAACATGGAGGCCATCTTGTGCAAAAGCTGGCCTGACCATACGTTCTGGACGGCGGAAGATGATCGGCTTCGGGCTGGTAATAGGGTTGCTGCCACCCACGAGCGAGTCGGGGTCATTCACGACATAACCTTGTCTTGCTAAAAGTTCACTGGTTGCGCCAACGTATTTGGATTGGCGACTCTGCTCGATATCATTGCTGTATAAACATCAGTGGGAGGCCAAGAGTGGATTCATTCGGCTGGTAACCGCTTACAAATGTCGCCTTAGGATAAGTGCTTTAGTCTTGTCTTCATCTGTTGAGTTATGTTCGGAGCTTAGATCACCATACTCAATCTTTCCTTGTTCACTACGTGAACGATCGATCAAGGAGATATCCCTGCTCGTGCTCTTCCGATTGAGACGCAAAAAAATCATTGCCGATCGCTCGGATTTCATGATGTATGGCCATTGGTCTGCCTCCAGTACTGAGTCATCTGACCCCAGATGTATGACATAGTCTTCGCTATCTTCTTCGCTGTCGTCGAGACACTTGCTCTCAATGTTACGACGTAGTGCGGCTTATGTTGAGCACAGCTTGAGCGGTAGGTACGTGACTTGTCCGTAGAAATCGGTGACCTGAATTAGACTGGGTCCGTCTGTACGAAGGTAGTCCCCAGAGATGAACTCAACACTGCCGTCAAAGAGTTCGTGGAGAGCACTCGGTCCGCAGGTGATAATAAGGTGTGACTGTACGACCATGGACCAGAATTGGGGAACCCGGAGAGTGTCTCCCCTTCTTACACCCTTGAACTTCTTGAACATTTGTTCGTCATCCCGACCCTGTGCAGCTTCTTGCGGATATGTATACTGGGACAATCCTCTGCCGCACCATCCAGCAACACGTCAGTAAAGTATTTTGCTTATACGAGCCGTTGCGAGCTGCAAACTTACCGAGTTTCGTGTAGTGATGTATCTTTTGGTGCACGAGAGGGATGAAGCGCACCAATGTCAAAGTATGGAAAAGCAACGAAGATAGCAGATATGTCAGGTTTCTGGGCTTGTGTAGGGTCGGTCCCGTCATATCGCAGTACTGTGTTCGGCCGTATATAGCTGCCGTGTGAGGTTCGCTCTGTGCATTCAACCTTGATGTGTTTCAAAAAAGAGAGCACAACCGGTATGGCGTCTTCGTCGTAGTCAAGCGCAAAATGAACTGCGGCTTTCTTTCATGATCGTTAGATTGCTGCCAGTGGTCTAGGGGTAGAAGCGTACCGCAAACGCATCGAAATCTATGCAGTGAGTTTGGATGTGCCTGCATATCGTTAGCATTATGCAGCCACTGGAAAGATTGACGTACAACCAGTGTTCAGATCTCGTATCATTCGTTCCACTGGTGTCCCGCTTTGACCTGGTAATGATCCGAAGCCGTTGAGCTTCTCCGTCAGCTGGGGTATAGACCATCGATGCTGCGACAGCGAACTTGTTCTGATCATGTTTCGAGGCCCCTTGAAATTGTGTTGTGGCTCGTTTTGCAGCCAACACACTTTGGTCTAATCTGTCATTGTTCAGCCTGATCTTGATGATTCGTTCATCATCGGCGCTGTAGCTCGAACCATCTGCGTCTTGCGACATGGTATCGGCTTCTTGTGGATGACGATTAATTGTCGGTATCAGGATTGAAGTGGGAGGTGCAACACAACTCGGGACGATGGTAGAGGAGGGAATGCGCGTTGACACAAGCGCCTGTCCATCTGTGCCACCGAACACTAAGCGGCCCCCAGCCCCCACCTTCGCAGCAGGGTATAGCGCCCTGCAACGCCTCTACAGTACATGAGAATTGCAGGGTATAGCGCCAGACTTTGACAGGCCAATGGTTAAATGCCCATGGTCATTCGCGCCACTCGTCACAGCTGGAAGACACGGGCGATTATCGTACTCCGCGTAAAGGGCCATCAAGGACAGAAGACATTCCAGCTTGATCGGGAGGCTCATATCGCTTGAGTAATGGACCAAAAAAAGATTCAAGATAAAAGGCATAGATTGCGTTGAAGACCAAGAGTCGTAAGTTAATCCCAGGTAACGGGTACTCAGCATGGCGCTTGAGCCGGTGTTGTCGCGATGCATGTCTTGATCTCATCTACGGCTGGCTTCAGACTCTTCGATGGTAATGTCCAGTCGTGACGCTTCAACCCTCCCTCGTGTGTCAAGTACCAGAGAGTCTCAGCTGTTGTGATGCGTACCTAAACCTCATTAACGTAAACCAACGGCAATAGAATATCTTATGCATACCTTCGGGAATGGATGTAACAGCATGCTCACAGCTTTGGTTAGCGTATCGCTCCTGGTCATTGGGATGACGCCTAAGCCCCGATACACATCCAGCGCGAGGTGAAGCTTCTGCATATGCGTGGACTTGAAGTGTGCTTTCTGCGTATATGAGAGAAGTGCTCGGAAACTAACACGATTAGCGCATGCACATACGTAACACCAAAGAAGGAACCCTTACTTGAAAGAGGTAGACTGTAGACGCTGCATGACCTGTATGTCGAACAAGAAAGCTATGACCTCTAGAAGCGGGAGCAAAACTCTATCGTTGGTGATGTTGTTTTTTAGCAGTGTCAGGAAGCAGTTTGCAAAGTCCACCAAGGCAAAGTGCGTAACGTCGGATGTATCTTCGTCTTGTAAGAGATCGACAAAGTCCAGCAAAGCCGCTCGTGAATTCTGCACCACGGATTCGGAGCCCATTCCCGCGGAGCTGACAAAGCCAACACAGATAGCTTCTCTGATCGTAGAGGTTTTCGCTGTTTGTAACGACATCAATGCCTTCAGGAAGTAAGTCCGAGAGGAGACCTCGTCTGTGGTCGCGGCACCGGGTTCTCTCAGCTGGAGGACTTGAGCGGCGTTCATGCGCATCTTGTCAAGCTTTTCGAGAGATAACCGAACGATGTCGGCGTAGATATCGTATTCACGTTCATTGCGTTTCTCGGTGAGTATTCCATATGCCCAAGCCAAGCGCACGGTATTCAAGGCCTCGAGTCGGACGAGTGACCCGACATCTCCCCGTTCTGTAATGGTATAGTCGTTAAGTGCAATGTGCAAGGCGCTCGCGATCTGGTCTTCGACGTCGGCAGCCAGCTGAGTTGAACCAGGGTTCTTGCTCCCAAGCAAACAACGCAGAGCACGTAATGCCACCGTTCGGGCTTCGATCGCCACAGCTGATGTGCACCTGAACGTAAGTACCTTTACGATCCGCCGCTGGAGGACGTCCCTTTCAGTGTCGGATGCCAGGCTGTCCAAGCTGCCATGCGCAGCTCCCAGGGCGATCGCATGTCCGGAACATCGCGACCCATTGTACGATGCTTCATTTTCCAAACGCAGCAGCCATGACATCACGACGCCAAATGTGTCAGACCCCGGTAACCTAGGTAATAATGAGACTACCGCAGGAACTGCGGCAGCAATAGCATCGAGGACTGATTCCTCATGACGCGCGAGACAAAGGTCCAACAGATTACAAACCTGTGCCACGGGTAGGTTTGAAGGCCAAAACTCGCTGAGAGTTCTATTGGTGAGTCTTGAGATTGCTCCGATAAATGTACATACTGATGATGCGGTGAACTGTGGTCGCAATGCCGGCGAAGTGAATGCCTTGTCTTCAAGCTCTAGTTCTTTTGAGAATAAAGTCCAAAGGGCCATCAAGGACGCATATGGATTGTCGGGCGCTTGATCCATATTCAAAGCCACTGTCGTGTCAACGAGGGTCGCAAGAGCAGTCACTAACCCTTGGCGCTCTTCAACCTCGCGAGGTCGTAACGCCGCGAGCTTGTCGCGGACTTGATCAGACATTTTCTGCACTACCGCAGGAGACCGAGCCTTGGAAAGAGACCCAATGGCCTCAGCTGCAAATAGACGTGAGTCTGAATCCAACGAGCCGGTTCCTCTCCAATCTAAAAGACCACCGAACAGGGCCTCCCAGTACAGAGACTGTAACTCTCCAGCCTTGATCGCCACTTCGCACATTGCGCGCTGGCGGAGCCCGACAGCGTGGAAGTCGACTATTTGTACGAGGGGTATGCCCTCTTCTATCGTATTGGGGTGGCGACCTATAAGTTCTTGAAGCGCAGCAGATGATCCTCTTCTGATGTTGCCTGCTGGATCAAGACAAGCAGCAACTACCAATTCGATTGCCAGCACTTGAGGCACGTGTAACGATCTGAGGTGCTCAGAAGCTCTTATTGTCGCAGTTTCCACCGCAAGGAGATCAGTGGTGGGGTAGCGGCGAGAGAGCGCCCAAATACCAAAGCAAGCTGCATCGCGTACGTTCGTACCGATGGACCCTCCAGTAGGCGACCGTTGCTCAAAGCCGAGGGAAAGTAGGAGAGCGTTGAGAACGTCCGCCAAATGGCTGGTAGAGATTGCTTTGCGATAGAGAAGCTGAGCCAACGTCAAAGTCAAACCGTGCCATCGGAGTGGGTTTACGCTGTTCAAATTGCGCTTGGACCCCTGCCAGTAGATGTTCTCTGTGAGCGAGCCAAGTATTGCTTCGACGACCTCGCTGGCCATCTCCGCGTCCAGTTTGAGAGTGATGATGCTGAGCGCCTTGCTAGCACCGTATCTGACTGGCGTGTCACCGTCCGCGAGTGCTTCAAGAAGAAATTCGATGACTTCTTCCAACACCACGGTTGAATCGAGTCCAGGAAGGGTTGACGTCGCTTGTAGGCAGTGCAAGACGATATTGCGCAAGCTTTTAACAACCAGCTTTCGAGCTACAGCTGATGACTTGACGAAAGCGAGACTCTCTTGATCCAGAATCTTCCTACAGGATAGGTATATGGCAGCGAGGAAAGGGCCAAGCTCTTCATTCGTAGCGGAGGCCAATAGCCCTGACAAGAATGAGAGAACTCCGAGACACTGATGTATGTCGGTCTTCTCTTCGGATATGTCTGTGAAGAAAGACAGCGACCATTGGACCATGGCATTCAGTAAACCCAGCTTTTGCATATCTGGTCGCACGCATGTCCTCACTAGAAGACTTGCAGCGGCGCTTCTTTCCTTTGTTGGGGATTGAAGTCCTGACATGCAAAGAGAAATTACCCGAAGAGTGACACCAGGAAGTTCAGCTGGGAGCTTCAGCCCCAGAGCTACAGGTGTTTCTGCAGAAACCTGTAAACCGGACATAGACTCCAGGGGAAAGGGCGCCAGTAGCAATTGTGAGAGCCATAGTAGCAGCACGTAGCGCTGGATCCAGGGCCGGGATGTCTCCTGCTGTAACGCATCGGCATTTTCAGATTTGACAACGCCGATCGCTTCTAACTCGCCCAAGATTGCTTCGAGATGACGTGGTTCGTTGTTGAAGAAGCCTTTGACGACCTTTTCGCCTCGGACTTTACAGAACGTATTTAAGACGGAGCATATGGCGTATGCAAGAGTCACAAATCCTGGTTTCGGTTCTTCTGTGGCGCTCGCCGATATTGCTTCTAAGTAGGCGGCGACGAGTGGAGGTATGAAGGTTTTGAGGTGGGTGTCTAGAATCTGGGGGTCCTCCTGGAATGGCTCTATCTGGAAAAGGTCAGACAGCCATTGAGAACATTCATGGATAGGGTTTGTACCAAGCTGCATGCCTTGTGCATGTCTGCTGTTCTAACATGTTGGCGGACGGGACCAAGGGCAGAGCCATGCTGCCGTTTCCGCAGTAGTCGCGGTAGCAGCCTCTCGAAGTCAGACAGGAGCGATGCAGATGCTCGCTGTAATTTCAGGTCGTCGTCCTCTCCGGCGCTCATCATGGAGTAAGGTGGAGCTGGGATGCACTTTGCGGGTGACGATGGGTGCCTTGTTCGCCGAGTCAGTTCTGGCAGGCACGACGCGTGATTCCGAGTCAACCCCGCGACGCGCTTTCGCTACTTCTTCCGCCATCACCACTGCGACGACTACGTCAGCCACTACAACACAAAATGGCGGGAGAAGACTACAACGACTTTCTCGTTGCGCGGGTAATTACCGAGCAGAGGCCTGTCACCTACAGGCTGCTCAGCAGAGCGACCAGCAGCAATGTCAACACAGCGAAACGGTTCGTGCAGCTCTTGCCAGAATCTGAATGCCGGCTCACACGATACAGGATGCTCTTCGAGTTCCAAAAGAACCAGAATGCGCGGAAACCCAAGTCGGTGCACGCGACCTACCTCGTGACTGGCACACCCAAACGAATCGCAAGACCCAATGGCGCCCACCGTCAGAAGCGTGAGGACGCCGACATGCGCAGCTCGCCCTTTATGAGCTCCATGCCCGAACGAGAAGAGCGCGAAGACTCCGATTACACTAGCGACTCCGATGACGAAGATACACCCGCACCTGAAGGTGTGAAAGAGACCAAGATTGTATTGGTAGGCGAAGAAGACTTGGAAAGTACGTTTGGCATATGCTCCGGGCAGGACCTAGCTAACAGCTTCACTAGAGACTAGGTCGGAGTTTGAAGATGGATCCACGGCTCACATTTACAGTGTGGAGCCCGGCCCGCTCAAGGTACGAAATCCTGGGAGGCTTCAGGACCAATACTAAGACATATAGGCTGTCGGCGTACTGTCTTTGTGCAACCATGAGGTTGTAACAGAGTATGCAGACGAAGATCCTCTGGAGCGGTGGAGAACATACGGTTCCATTCAAAACGAACACATCAAGGTACGGACATGGCTACAGCTACACGGGCGCGCTAACATCGTTGTAGCGAAGAACTGCAAAGTATGCTCCTCCTACTGCTACATCGAAGCCCGCTGCGAAGATCATCACGAAGCCTGCCGGAAAGGGCACTTTCGCTTTTGCGACGAAGGACAAGGAGACGTCCTCGTCTGCGAGAAGAGGAAGCGCGTCCGAAGACAATACATCCGGTCGCTCAACGCCGCAACCCTCTGCGGGGTCTACTACACTGAAGAGGAGCGATTCGAAGTCCGGGGCGAAAAAAGACAAGGCGACAAGTGATCTCTTCAAGTCGTTTGCAAAGGCCAAGCCGAAGGCGAAAGAAGCGGAAAAGTCACAAGAATCCACCCCAGCGCCGGTTGAGGATGGTACGTACACGGGCAATCTTTCCTGGTTACACGACTAACTTGGCTAGAACCAATGGAAGGTATGTCCGAGGATGAAGGTGATCCCGATGATGAGCCCGAGATCAAGATCGACGAGGAGAAGATTGAGGCAGCCCGCAAAGTTCGAGAGGAGCGAGCCGAACGACTGCGCAAGATGATGGAAGATGACGGTAAGTCTTTCAAGCTGGATATGATCGCAGCGTCTGACTTGTGTAGATGAAGAAATGCCGGATGCACCAGCCACAGCAGAATCTCAGCCTGAAGCTCCTTCAACAGCGGCGACGGATACCACAGAGCCAACCGAGGGCGAAGCTACTGTCACAGTGGAGAACGGTCGCAGACGCGGCCGGAGACGAGTGATGAAGAAGAAAAAGGTCAAGGATGAGGATGGCTATCTTGGTAAGTAGCCAGTGCACTCTGATTGCCCTCCCACTGACTTTGCATAGTGACCAAGGAAGAGGCCGTCTGGGAGTCCTTCTCGGAAGAAGAACCTGCACCAAAGAAGGCGAAGCCAGCGCCAGCTAAGCCAACGAGCTCGGCAAAAGCGAAGAATGCTGGCAAGAAAGGCCAAGGAAGCATAGCCAGTTTCTTCAAGAAGGCCTGAGAGATCTACAGATGTGAACAAGAGGAACAGCGTTACTACAGCTTCGACCAAACACAGCATATTGCAACATATTGTACAAGTCATTCGGGTCACAATCGTATACATCGCTCGTACCCGCCAAATGTTTCGACCATCTCGCAAAGGCAGATTGTCCTACCACTTGAGCAGCAAACTCCTGTCAGTTTAGCGAAGCGACGTTGTCCAGGTCGCCGACTTGTGCTGCTCCAGACGCCCACTGTACAATGTTGTACACAGATCTTGACTTGCTGAACGGTCTCTGGGTATCGGGATGCTGTGTGGCATGATTAGCATGTGCCCTAGGGCAATCCTTTCTATAGACAAGGATGTTAAGTTTGAGTACGGATTCAGTTGGTGCCGCCTTCAATACTGGAACTTGAACCTGTTTCTATTGCAAATGTGACAATCTGGGACTCCCCATCTTCTGGGTTCGCGTTGTCGCTGATGACGAACGCGGTGTTATTCGGATACCCCGCAACCCCACGGGAGCGATTATTCGCCAGCATACAGCTCTTGCGTACATGATGTGCTCTGAGTGTTCACAAATATCATCGTTCTTAGTTGCTTTTCTACAAAACACATGTCGAAGAGCCGCACAGGTACTTGCACTAGCCTAGACAAAGGCTACTGACCTCATTGAATCTGCACGATTGCGCAGGTACCGATCTAGGTGATGACGACATCATTCTCCGACACATCAAATAGTCTGTAGCTTCAGAGCTCAATTGACTTCCATCATCACGACTAACACAGTATCATCTACTCATAATAGCCATCATAGCTTCACGCACAGCATCCCGCCGCCTTTCGCGCTTTCTACGCACGATGTCTACCACCGCACCCTCAGCATCGGCCCTCCCGCCTGCGCCATGGAAGTCGCTGTTCAGCGAGCACATCTCCAAAATGAAGTCACCTGAATTCGTGTTGGGAACGCTCGACGCAGCGCCCAAGGGCTCGCCTACACCATTCGTGCCCCGCGTGCGATACTGCATCCACCGCGGTTTCTGGGCTGAGCTACCAGAGAACAAGCACAACGATGCGGAGCGCAACCCTCAAGTCTACCAGAGCGATTGTCCAACATTTACAACGGATGTACGCATGGAGAAGGTCGGACAGATATTCGCGACGAGTGCGGGGCACGCTGAGAGCAGCGATCAAGTGCAGGGCAGTGGTGGTGGAGGCCCTGTAGAGGCTGTGTACTGGAATGCTGATACTGGTACACAATGGCGGATCAAGGGAAGGGCATTCATCATTGCACCCGATATTGAGGGCGATGACGAGAGTAGTGGTGTGAGGACTGTCAAGAGCGAGCTGGGAAAGAGAATGAGGATTGTCGATGAGGGCAAGGAAGGCGACTTCAGCTGGCAGAGGGAGCTAACTGGTTTCTTTGGTAACCAGAGTCCTGGCATCAAGGGTAAGAATAGCTGCTGTCTTCTGTACTTTGTAAATTGCTAACAAGTTATCTCAGGCTCATTCAAGAACCCCCCACCCGGCCAGCCAACCTCCAAACCATTCGATGACAAGAACCTTGCCCTTGGCTCAAAGGTCGATGATTTACAAGACCCCGTGGCACGCAAGAACTTCCGCCTCGTGGTGATTGTGCCAGACTCGGTGGAGCAGACGGATCTCAGCGACCCAGCAAAGGCACGGAGATACAGATACACATTCGACGAGAGCGCAAGGGCCAACGCTGGATGGAGGACTGAGGAGCTCTGGCCGTAAGAGCGCTGTTGAACGGCACGCATGAATATGGGTTCGAAAGAGTTCTAGCATTTCGAATGTTCGAAACAATACCACGAGTTCCCAGGCATTATTCGGTGCCTTGATCGGGCCGAGCGTATGTTGTGCTGTGTAACTCGTTTGTCACAGAGACCGTGGACCCTTGCTGGATGCACATGGCTGATGGGTGGTTCCGATGCAGTCTTCCCCACAATGTGGCTCAGGTCGGCGACCATAACCATGGCCCTTGTTGATTTGAATAATCGCCTACAGATGACAAATTTGTTGAGCACAGTTTAGAATTACCTGGTGAGAGAAACTGTTTTCAACTCAGTACGGCAACATAAACAAGTAAGATGTTTTTCTTCCTTCGATATGGGAGGTGAAACCTGGGTAGGAGATTTGTTCATCGCAAGTCCCTGGGCTGATGACATCAAAAAGCAGACGTGCGAAACGAAACGCGTGTTGAGCAGGCCCCTTACCCGCATGACAAGGGTGCGCTATTTCAGTCGCCAGGTTGCCTGAAGCAGTAATCGATGCGGTGCGTAGCTGTCAACTGCCTGGGATCAACCTAGGCGGCCAATCTAAATAATGATGTGTGCGTTAACGTTCAGGCGCACAGCTGCGTGTGTGGTAAGCTTCAACGGTTAGCAGTCCAACGGTATTGGTACGCATTTCAACAGGTCAGGTGCGCGCACTCGCCTTCCTAGCCGGGCATCGTTCGCGAGCACAAGCAGGTCGGTCACTGGACTGTGCACAGCAAGTCATCATTTTACACAGGACCAAGATCATGGACAGTGTCTGCGTCATGTGCGTGGACACTTTGGGAAGAACGGATGGGTACGGACGACGATACGGACATGTGGGATGCTCGTTGCGACTACCGCATTTGGTAGGCAATTCGCAAAGTTGCGAAGAAGCCAAAGGGCACCCTGTTTTCGTTTCGGCTGAGGCGCTGCGGCACGGGTGTAGGACGCGCCGCCATCGTGCTGACTGGAGGTAATAGCCGCCGGGCGGAACTCATATGCGCGCTATCGCCAAGGTCGATGAATGGGGTGAGCTGGCACCGTTGGACCGGCGGCGGGTGTGCTCCGAGAGGGATGTTTCGCGCTGTCATCGCAACTCGAGGAGATCATGTGCATGCGAGCCAGGCTAAGAAGCGGTGCCCCTGCCGGCTAGTGGATTGCGACAGGTGAAGTGTGTAGGTGCGTTATCGTGAAGCCATGCGAAACACGGTGACAGTGGGATCGATCTTGTACGGCGTCGGCCATGTGGGCGCGCAACGACGACACACCCGGGCGCGCAAGGAGTGAGGTAATTGAATCTTGTAATCTGGCGACTCGTCTGCAATAAGGCCGAGCGCCCTGTTCGATCACCGCCAAGGGTCGACGAACCGTTGCTGCGGTACCCCATACCTCTTGCAAGCGGAGTAGGCTCCCTGCACCTTGCACCCGCGCCCATGCAAGGCCGTCTCGTTGCTTTCTGGCTGCCCCCTCTTTCTTCTTGATGCAATGCACCGCCGTGGCCTTGTACCACCATCGTCCCACTCGCATGCCGGTAGACACGACTCCGTTGGGTCTGTGAGTCTGGCCCCGTTGATCGCATCTCGTAGCAGACGCACTCCCTGCCCGTCAGCCGTCTCTCCCCATAAGTAATCGCTGATCGTCTGCCACTATTTCTCCGCCCAACGCTGCACACGTACCCCGACCGCGCCCTTTCTGCTCCCCTAATCCACATCCACCGCCTCACTGCTCGCTGGTCGACACTCACGTCAATTTCGTCGCCGTCACCGTCGCCGTCGCTGCTCCATGCAATAACCCGTCTGCATCCGTCCCTGCCATTACCACCACCACTCGTGCCGCTTAACCCCGAAACCCCGATCAACCCTCGCCCACCATGTCCGACATTGAGAAGTCGTTCGTGTTCCTCCAGGACAACCTGCCGCAATGGCTGCAGGACATTGCCAGCATCCAAGAGAAGGTCACGGCCATGCAGGCCGATAACACCAAAGTGCCCGTATCGCAGTCCCCGTTCGGGAAGCGGACCGACTCCACCGCGTCCATACGACCAGCCCTAGACGCCATCGCAGAGGACGCAGCGCCTTCGAACGCAACACCTCCAGACGCCGTCCCAAGTCGCAAACGAAAGTCGCTTTCCGTCTCGTCCGGCCACGAACCTGGCACTGCCCGTCGTCGCCCTCGAACCATGGTGGTTGTCAACTACGATGGAGACATGCAGAAGTCGTTCGAACTGCTCGTGCGGGCAATAGGGACTGGACGCAACATGCTACGTAAGGCCAAGATGGAGGCCAGAATGAATGAGATGGCCTCCCAGGCAGAGTCGAGCGCAGAGGAGGATGACATGGACGACGACGACGAAGAGATCGACCTATCCAAAATCAACTACCGAGCCCGCATGTCATCGTTACGCGCAAGATCGGCAGCCAGGAGAAGCGGTAGATTGGGCGTCAGCAGTGGTGTAGACACACCCGTCGTGCTGTTCGATACCTCGGACAAGACATTAGAGCAAGCTCAAGAGCTGTGCGAGAAGTCAGCGCATCTCACACTCCGTGACGGCGACTGCAGAACAGAGCTGGAAGGAGTGCGAAAAAACTTTGAGACTGTGTTGGAGACGGCAAAGATCGAGGTGGAGAAGTGTAACGCACGCAAGGCACAGCATCCACCCGAATTACAGGCGCACGAGACCTCCGACACATCCATGTCTTCCCTAGAGCCTGAGATGACATACCGGAAAGACCCATCGCAATCCGTACTACCACCACCCGAACTCGATACTCAACCGAAGACCACATTGGCAACACAGCCTGTAACTACCCCACAACCACTGAAGATTGTCGACATTGAGGTTGATGAAGACGACGACGATGACGACTTCGTACTGCCGCCTGTCCGGCTAACCTCGCGACTGAATCGTCGAGGCTGATCCTCCTGATTCCATCCATTTGTCATTTCTTTTCATGCGTTCAAGCGATTTCCATCTCAGCCATTGCTCTCATCACGGCGTTTCGAATGCATTGCGGGTGCATGCGTCTATTTTCATGCATAATGTTGGGGACGAAAATGGGGGGCGAGGGCTTATATCCACATGCATCACTAAACATCTCTTGGGTGTCGGCGTCTTACAGCGAAGCATCGTTGCTGCTATCTTCTAGCGAATTTATTCTATCTCCAAGTTATTCATGCATACTGTCGCAAGACAATTCACGTTCGTTGGGAGAACGTTGCTTTATTCCATAGCACATT